CTTCAAAGACTCGCGCAAAAAAGTTAAAGCTAAAGGATAACTATCAGATACCTAGAAAAAAAGGAAAAATGTAATTTGATTCTTCTTCTTTTTTTTTTTTTTTTGTGCCAGAAACGCTAACTGCAGTTCTTTCCAAAGGTGCCGGCAAACTGCAGTAATGTTTAGTCACTAACATCATTGCTGGATTCAAATTGGAGACGCCCAGGCTTACGTTAACGAATGACTACGATTTCCTGAAGACTTGCAGCGGGATTGCTCTGACTCGTGCTAGAACTGCTGGCAGTTTATAACCATCTCCTGTTCCTTCACGACTCCAAATGGATGTCAAATTCAGTAATGTGTTTTCATCCCCACCAAATACCCATCAAAAAAATCTGAGACAAACATTACACACTAAAGTGATACTCAAAGTGTGACTTCAGCTAGCAAAACCAAAGCAATTCATCGTTAAAGGATCGTCCATGTACTTGTATTCATCAGGCATCTAGGTATTTTGGTGGTATTCATCCACAACACAAAATACTAGATAGGTGCTAACCACATTAATACTTTGTTCCTCACCGATAGGTTCTGTAACATTATGGATAACACAGATCTGTGCAGTTAGCCTGAAAAGCAGGAGCAGAAAATACTAGTTATGTGAAAGACAGCTGAATTAATATTCTTCTAGGAACTGTTGCAGTTTTTGCACGTCGTGATTCATCTCTGAGCTTGGCTGTCCCACTTAGTTCCTAGTGAAAAGTCATATATAAGCAGCTGGTGACTGCTATTATTTCTCCTTTGTCTGTCTTTGCCTGCTTTATGCACTGTGCTTCTCTCCTATTTTCCCTTCTTACACTCCTTCCAGTTTTTCTCTTCCTCCTTCTCCTGCCATTTCTGATGTGCTTTTTCTTCTCCTGCCTTTTCATACCTCAGCTTCTTGGGTTTTATTTTATTCTGCCTTTCTTGTTGTTTTGATTTACCCTCTTTTCATCTCCTTTTTGATTTGCATTTTCAATTGACTTCAAGACAATTTGCATCCGAGCACCTGAAAACGTCCCTGTGCATGCGCTCAACCACACAGAGCACTTCACAAACTGGAGTTCCACTTTCAAGACTCGCTCCTGGACAATAACTTCGGAGACTGATCAACGCCCCTATGAGCTGAGAAGATCTCAGCTGGTGTCATCCAGGAGGAAGTTCACGTTTCAGTATAGGGAGCTAAGTCTTACTGTCTGCGTTGTTCGCCTCCTTAAACATTAGTGATACGCACCTTAAGGTGCAAATCATATCTTTGTTCCACTGAACATTGTATTCGTCTCCTCTTTTGCAGGAAAACGTGCAGTTACTGACATCAGCAACGTCAATCCCACCGATGTGGTTCAAAGGAAGAGCTTCCGTTCCTGCAAGCCGGATGGCCGTCACCACCCCGCGCCACGGCCACCCACCTTCTGCTGGTGCCTCACCTGAGGACCATCCGGCTGCTCGAGACTGGCGCCGAACGGGAGAGTTTTAACACGGCCTCTCCGGGGGATGGAAAGCGCCAGGAATGTCTCCAGTGTTGCACCACGAAGGAGAGAGTTATTTAAACGCAACTGAGGGAATGCAAAGCATCAGGCAGCGAGGATCCGGGGCTTTCTTCAGGCTGAGACAGGCACTGATGGTTTTGGGCAGGGAGGCTCAGCCCAAGCAGAATTAGCTGGGAGATAGCTGGTCTCAGAGAGGGAGAAGCTTTCCTTGGCTTCTTCTAGCAGAAATAAATTTCTACCTACTGTAACTTATTACCATCTGATATGCTGAGTCATGAAGCTGGGGTTATAGAAATCTTTATGCAATCTTTATAAATCAGCCTCACATAATCTCAGGCGCTTTCTGCTTCATCTCTGTTGAGTCACTCATTTGACAGTTGTCATTCATCTTAGATTGAGATGTAATTTAATAGTTTCATTTCAGCGTGAAGATAGCGTCATCTGAAGCTGAGCCCGGAAAGATTTAAAGGTGTAACAGAGGAAATATTAATACTGTAAATAATATCTGTAGAGCTGCACGGGTCTATAAATCACACCGCGCCAAGTCGGAAGGGGAACCTATGTAAAAAAGAAAAGGCATCTTCCCGTTGCCTTCGCCTGCGGAGCGCGCACCTGCTCCAGGGGTGCCGGGTGCCCCGCGGCCTCACTGGGACCACCTGCCCGCACCCACA